GAATACTTGGTCCGGTAGCTTCGCCCCCAAAAATGCCTCCAAGACGGCCCAAGATGCCTCTTAAACGGCCTAACATGGCGTCACTGTTGCCCAAGACGGCCCAAGTGGCCTCCAAGAGGCCTCCCAGACGGCCCAAGAGCCTCCAAGAGGTCCTCCAGGAGGGCCCGCAGAGACCAAAATCATTCATGTTGCCCAAGTGGTTCAGGATGTTGGTATGTGTTTCTTCTCGCCATTCCGACGGCTCAAGACGGCCCAAGAGGCCTCTTTTTCGTCCTCTTCATGTTCATTCTCCCCTACGTGTTCCCCGAAAGCTTTCCAAACCGATTCGGGGAATACATGGTCCGATAGATTGGCAGGCCTCTGGCCACAACGTTCGGCCACATAGGCGCTTCCGAAAGGGCACGGGGCGGCGGTGATTCACCGTAGGCGTCTTCGATACATACAACAAAATCTGGACCAATCTCCACGGTTGGGGGCGGTGAAAACAATCCTCCTGCTCCTCCTCCTCCTCCTCCTCCTCCTCCTCCTCCTCCTCCTCCTCCTCGTTTGCCTTTCTCCTCCTCCTGATCCTCCTCCTGCTCCTCCGCCTCCTGCTCCTCCTCCTCCTCCTCCTCCTCCTCCTCCTCCTCTTCCTCCTCCTCGCCCCTGGTAAGCCCAGCTGGCCCCTAGCCCTGCTAAATCAAGGTGAGCACTGCCCGCCCATGCTGAGCAACGCTGAGCCCTGCCAGTTTCGGCTAAGCCCTGCGAGTGAGCCCTGCCAGCCAAAGCTAAGCCATGTTAAGCCTTGCTGCTAAGTCACGCTGAAAGAGCCATGTTAGCGCCCTGCAAACGATTGGCCCCGCTAAAAGTTGCCACGCTCTCCTAAGCTCTGTCACGCTCTCCTGAGCCGTACTAAATGTTGTTAAACCCTATTAAGCCCTGATATGCAATGCGAGCTCCTGCTAAGCACTGGTAAAACGTCCAACGCCATGGCAAGCCGTGCGAAGCCCACCAACACCCGCTTGAGCTTTGGTCCGCCCTTCTAAGCTCTGACATACCATACCAGTTCCTGCTCAGCCCTTGCAGGCCCTGTTGAGCCTTGCTAGGCCCTGCGAAGCCCTGGCAAATTCTGGTCTGCCCTGATAAGCTCTGCTTGGCCATACGATTGCCTGGTGAGCCAAAGTCAGGCCATGTTAAGCCCTGGCCCTGGCAAGCCCTGCTATGCTCTGCTTAGCTATGCTTATCCCAACCATGGCCTGCCACGCCTGCTAGGGTCTGCTAGGGTCTGCTAGGCCCTGCTAAGCTTGGCCAAGCTCCGCCACGCCTTGCTGGGCTCCAGCAAACACTCATTACCATTGCTAGGCCACGCTCAATGTTGTCATGCCCTGGTAAAGCCTAAGAAGCACTGCTAAGCCTGGCTTAGCCTTGCGCTGGTCTGCTACGCTCTGCCGGGCCATGCGCATCTCTGATGAACCAGATTCTGCTCTGCTAGACACTGCTGAGCTTTCTTCGGCTATGGTGTGCCCTGCTGGGCTCTGATGGGCCACGATAAGTCATGCTAGGCCCTAGTAAGCCGTGGCATGGCGATCTAAGCCATGGTATGCCCTGTTGCCCAGCCCTCATAAGGCAAGCTAGGCCCTGCTAGGCTGTGATGAGCCCTGCTAATCCCTGGGAAGCAGTGGTACCTCCTGCCAGGCGTTGCTAAGATGTGTTAAGCATTGGCACGAATTGCTAAGCAGTAGGCTCTGCTCGGTCCAGATAAGCCCTGCTGCACACCAGCGCGTCGTGCTAAGCCCAGCTGAGGTATGCTAAATTGCCTAGGCCCTGCTGAGCCCTGCTGGGCCTTGCAAAGCTCTGCTGTGCCTTGCTAAGTGGTGACAAGCCTTGCTTCGACATGCGTAGCCCTAATGAGCCATGCTAAGCCCTGCTAAGGTCTGCCAGGCCGAGGCGTGCTCTGCTAAGCACTGATCGGAGATGCCCCGCCCTGCTCGGCACTAGAGAGCATTGCCAGGCCATGCTAGGCTCTGCTAGGCACTGCTGAGCCCTCCTGAGTTCGGGTATGCCGCGCGAAGCCCTGCAACGCCTTGCAGTGCTTGGTGAATTCTGCCACGCCCTGGGCCTGATAAGCCGTGACAAGCCTTCCTAACCCTTGCTCAGCCCTGCTACCCTCTGCTATGCCCTGCTCAGCTGTGGTAGACCTGAGCTCTGGCAGGTGTTGCTGAGCCCTGCTGAGGTCTGCGAGAACCTGCCATGACGTGGCAGGCCGCAGTGCCATGCTACACGTTCGGCTAAATCCTGCTGGGCCCTGATAAGTACTGCTGGGCCCCCCCGCTAAGCGCTGCAAAGCTCTGCGAGCACATACTCATCCCCGCCAATCCCTGCTATGCCATCGTAAGCGTTCGCCCTGATACGGCCTGCTAAGCGGCGATAATCCTATGCCCATCTTGGCCTCGCTAAGCCAGGCTTGAACATGCCAAGGCCTGGTAAGCTCTGGTAAGCAGTGCTAAGCCCTGCTGAGACA